ATATGAACTCAAATACGAAAACACTGGAAGCAAATGAGACTTAGGTTGACTTCAGGCATATGTTGAGCAACCGAATAAGCCTGGGAGTATTGTAATAAATGCATTCTTCTCCGTTAAAAATACAAATACTATCAAAATTTAGCTTTCAGAAAACAGGAGATTTTATACACTAAATTGTTCACCAAATTAATCCATTATTTCCAAAGATCTAGTTTGTAAAGTACCATATGATTTAAGGCTCAATTCTATAAGAAATTCCTTTATTCTAAATATTTCTTATCTTTCCTATACATCTAATGCTTAATTATACAGAGTTGTTCCAGTAAGTCCCAGATTCCTAGAAACATGACTTATTTATCCACACTTTTCCGCTACAAAATATTATGAAATACTGTTTTTAAAAAGTTGCAAATATTGCAGTTCATATGAATGCGACTCTTTCTCACCTGTCTTCCAAGAAGTAGCATGCTGCTTTGCATAAACAACTCTTTTTTCATGGGCAACTGTGTGTTAAGTCCTGCTGACTGCCTCTCTTGTGTATGAGGGAGAAGCATTGCAAAGGCAATCTTACATGAAAAAAACCACACAATAATTGTAGATAGGATCCTGTTAGCTTAGAAAGTAAGAATCTAATTGTATCGGTTTCAGAATTTAATGTTGTAAACACTGCAGATTGCTTAACAGAAATGATACAGAGACAAAAGGGGGTAATAGGCAGTAAGAGACCAAGACCTCAAAGCATCTATCTGAGGAAGTGAAAGATATTTTTAGTCTCATTTTATCAACACTTCAATAATTGGTACATACAGAAGGTTACTAAAGTCTAAGTCTTGGCATATCAAGTGGCCCACGTTTCAGAGTTCCAGTGTTAAAGTATAGTGCAATGCTTTAAAACTTTAGGAATAAAAACTGTGAAGTTATGAGTTGATCGTTTTTGCTTTATAAAATCTATTGCATCCTACTTTCAGGTGGGTGCTTGTACTTAAGTAAATTGCACTTCATGTTGTTTGAAAGTAATGAATGCTAATGACAGATAATGATGTCTTGTTTCTAATTAGCACTGCCAAGAGAACCTGAGGTTTCTAGAATTCATGATGATCACAGTTTCCAGGAACAGTCTGAGAATGTTAAAATTATATAAACAAGTTTATTTATGCTGAATTCATTTGCTGATTGTTTCCTTCCGTAACTGAGCATAATGTAAATGAATTTATCTGTATGTTAACAATCAAGAAAAAGACCTTACGTGTGGAGAGGCAGATTCTATCATCTACTTTTTATAAACATTCATTGTTCATTTTAATTAAAAAATACGGGGGAAAATGTTTACAAATAATTGCATGCAATAGATTATAGTTAATATTCAGAAAGCTTTAAAATAAAGCAGACTAATGAATAAGCAGTCTGGCTCACAAAATGTGACTTGAAATCGGATATTTCTTGCTAAGGAATAGGTTTGTCTCATTTAGTTATTGTTCAAAACACTATCTTAATATGATTTAGCAAGGAATTTGACATACCATTTTGGCTTCATTCCATGAAAAGCGTTATTCCAGGACATAAAGTTGGAGAACTTAGATATTGTGCTATGAGTTATGTGTTTTCAGAAATATGTTAAGGATTGTGTTCATAAACATCAAAAATGCAGTACACAGTAAATCACTCCAATCACTTCATTTCTATAGTTACAAAACAGCTTGTTTCTTACTTTAATGGCTTGTATTTAATGTATTTAAGTTCCAAATGATCACTGTGTGGGATTTTATTCTTGTTTGCATGATTCTGTATTCTTTAATTTAAAAATAAAAAAATAATAATAAAAAAATAACCATAATGTAACAAAGAAATTTTACCTACTCTTGCACATGTAACTTTTTGCTGGATGTTATGGTGATGGTAAACAATGTAGGCCCTACTCAGTGACCAATGAAAACAGGTCTGCTGTTGCAGGACTGGATCCAAAATGCACTCATTTGAGAGCTGACCTTTGGATGCAGTCACTTTGTTTTGTAAAATATATCTGGAAGAAATATTAATATCTAATAACAGATGATGAGTGTTCTGGGTTTCTTCTCCAGTAACGCTGTTCACTATCCCCACACCGTCCTCTAGATAGACATGCCTACAGCACTCCAAAATACCATTGCTTAAATTGTATTACATGAGATTTTTCATGCTGCTTTCTACCAGAGCTAGGTGGTATGTCATCTGTGTATTCTGAACATTTCATGCATTTTTTAGGCCTAAAACTATGAGTTTAGTGTATATGATGAGATTCATCTCTGACACCACTAGTGCCAGTTCACCCTTGGTTGTCTTGTAAATATTATCTACTTGCTACTAGAATGATTGCAAAAAATGCTAAAGAATGCTACAGAATGCTAGGTGTGTTCAAGAAATAAAAGATGTATTCTTCCTGTGCAAGGTTTTGGACTTGGGTTGAGGTAATCCTAGATATGTATACAAACAGGATGAAGAATTGCTTCAGAGTAGCCCTTGTGAGAAAGACTTAGGGATACTGGTTAATGAAAAACTTAACATGAGCAGTAGTGTGCACTTGCAGCATGGAAGGCCAATGGTGTCCTGGGTTCCATCAGAAGAGGAGTGGCCAACAGGACAAGGGAGGTGATGTTCCCATCTATTCTGCCCTCATGAGGCCCCAGCTGGGGTACTGTGTCCACATCTGAGACCTCCAGCACAGGAAAGATGTGGAGCTGTTGGAGAGGGTCTAGAGGAGGGATACAAAGATGATCCAATGGCTGGAGCAACTTTCCTCTGAAATACTGAAGGAACTGGGCTTGTTAAACCTGAAAAAGAGAAGGCCTCATTGAGGGAGATCTCATTGTATCTCCCAGTATTTAAAGTAGTATTAGGACAAAGGGGAACAGTTTTAAACTAAAAGAATGGAGATTTAGATTGGATGTCGGGGGAAGTTTTTTACTGAGAGTGGTGAGGTGCTGGAACAGCTAGCCCAGAGATATTGTGGATGTCCTATCCCTGGAAGTGTTTAAGGCCAGATTGGATGAGGCTGAGGGCAATCTGATCTAATACTTGATCTAGCAGCTGGCATTCCTGATGGGATCCTTGAGGTCCTTTCCAACCCAAGCCATTCTATGATTCCAGGATTCCATATGTATCTAAAATGTCATGCACTCCTTCAAGAGAAAGATGTATATGTTTATATAATTACTTTACAAGTAAACTGGATGACTACCATTGTCCTGGAAGGTAATGTTCTACTGTGACTGAGCTCATTTTGAATTCAGATGGCATTCGGAAAAATCTTTAATGTATTAACCTCATTTTCATTCATGTTGTCCATAAGTCCACTTTCTGTTTTAGCGAATGAATTCTGTCTCTGAGATATTTATGTAAGTGTACTATCTGCTCACATGGATAACTGCTGGCTAAATTAGTATATTAATGCACAACAATTTCAGTTGCATTTGCCATTCAAAAAACCTACAATATTGTAGCTGAAAGCTGACTGAGAGCTGTACCTAGACAGTCAGGGAGTGATGTGTCCCATATCAAAACATCTTGAATGTCAGTTATCTAACACATGCAATCAGTGCTGACAAATGAAATACAGCACTTGAATTGTTCTCCAAAATTATTCTAGGAATAGTTATGAATAATTATTAAGTTCAAGAAATTATAAATCTGATTACAAGTGGCTGTTGAACAAAGTCAACATTTGTTTAAGAAAATAATTGTTACAGATTGCTTGTTTTGTCTATTACATTTATGAAATACTTTTACTTACACTCCACTGTCAGCCAAGATTCTCTTTCAAGTGTAAACTGATATTTTTTTAAATGATAATCTGGTATGGGAGATTGCCTGAGCAATAATGTTAAAAATAGTGCAATACTGATCTGACTGCATCCTATTATTCATTTTGAAATAATCCTTTTCAGAGCCTCTGAGGAAAAAGGTGCAGATTTGACAACAACAAAAAAGTTATCAACAGGAAAATATTTCTGTTTGGCTCCCTGCAGATTCCAAAAATACAATGTCATATCATGGACATTGCAGCTTTTCTGGTCAGGGATTGATTCCTTTTAAGGTCTGCCCAATAGCCGAAGTATTCTGTTCATGAATTTGGTGCAGGGACCAAATATCAAATGCAAAGAATAAATTATAATAACAGTCAAGCTATTGTAAGTGTGATTAATTCCATTCCCATTTTGATATGTCTCAGAAGTCAAATTTTCCAGGTGCCCACTTCAGGTATTAGGTTGGGGTACTTATCATTGTGGTGTAACTATGATACAAAATCTTTTGCAAATATGTTAATACAACCACACTTGAACATTTTTAATTAACAAAAAGCAGTCAGAAAGTTCTTACGAAACTTTGAGTCTGATTTTCTACTCCTTGAACCTCTCAATGTGTTTTTTATTAGTATTTTGTAAAACTTTGAATGAGTGTGATTGACTGCATAAGGAAGATGGCTGTGGAGAATCAGGCTTTTCTTGCCAACCAATAGCAACACACTTTCTTCTTCAGGAGAAAAACTGAAAAACTGTCAGTGCTCTCAGTAAAGATAAGTAGTTTACAGGTTCCATATAACACAATTTAGTCTGTTTTGGGGGAAAAAAGTAAACTATGCTGAATTTGATACTGCATATATGTTTGGAATTACAGGTAAATGAGATTTACATCTTTTCTGGCTGTATTGCAGTTGCAAATAATAAAGTGGGTAGACATTTTTCAGACCTTATTTTTGCAAATAGAATTTCTGACACTGTTTGTCATATCTCCTAGATTTACATATTTAGGGACAATTATGTTTTCTGCTTAACAGATAAGAAATGTGTTGTCATCTGTTATAGCCATTACTGTCACTAATACCTTTCTCTTTGCATTTTTTAAAATTGGTATTGTTCCTGAAAGTAGCAGGGCTACCATGTATTAAAATACTTTTCATTTTCTACACTCTATTTTGGTTTGGTTACCCATGACAATAGTAACGTGACTGTCTGTATCTGTTACAGTGTGCCTGAATATTATGACTATGGTCACGGAACAAGTGAAGAGGCTTATGACAGCTACGGTAAGGTCTCTTCTGTCTTTAGCAAAAGTGTGAAATCCAAAGAAAAATCTGTCACTGGCAACTCAGAAATTTCTTCCACATATTTTTCTTTCTCTCTCTGCTTCTACAAAGGCCAAATCTAAATGGATTTGTATAATATTAAAGTGAGTTTTGACTTACTGAAATAGGACCAGAAAATTGGACAGATTTATTTTGATCAAAATTACAAAGCAAATTAATCGCAGTCATAGATCAGCTTAAACAGCAACAGTGAAGTTTCTGCTCAGTGCCTGAATATATTTCAGTGTTAGGTTTCCGTCTGCTTGGTGTGCCAATAATCCTGTGTACCTATTACTGTCACACGCATCACTTCAACCAGCAATTTTTGCAAGATTTTGAAATACAGACATTCTCAAAGGGGAAGGAGAGGGTTCTGTACCCCCATGTGAGCCCCCCCCTGCACCTAGAGACGGGGTTGTATCCTTGGGCTGCATGAGGCAGCAGTGACAGAGGGAGCATTGTGGTCTTCACATCTCTACCCACTAAGTCTGTAAGTCTTTTCCAAAGGGACAGAAGGCATGACACAAAAAGATAATATCACTCCCATGTGCCCATTTTCTAGATTGGTTTTTCTTATATTAATGGTGTGTTTTGATGACTAATAATAATCTATTCCGCCTTTTTCAATCAAATTGATTTCAGCACCTTTTAACATCAGATGACACAGTGAATTGTGTGGCATTTTCACTGAAATAAGAGAGCACTGCTGATGTTGACATCCTAGAGACTGACCCTGGAGCATTCAACATAACTATCATGCTTGATTTACCGTTACTAATAAAGTACTGTAAGTTTACATAGTGACTTCCAGAGCATTATGAAAATGAGAGATGCTAGAAATGGCACTGCAAGTAGACGTTACATTAAGAGGTTATATAAGGTTTGCAGCTTAAAAAAATAATTTTATTCGTGCAGCTGTGGAATAAATTTCACCATAATATAAAGTTGCGGTTTCCTTTGTATTTGTAAAGCAATCACAAGACATTCCTGAGATACTGTCAAAATGATTGCAATGCATAATCAGAAATAACTTTTTTTTTGTATAATCAGTATTTTAATAGATTTGCATTACACAATGTGCAGTCAAGCACATTTCCAGTGCTAAACAAGTAATAATAATATTTTATCCATACATACATTTGTGCTTCAGTTACCCTTTGTTTTATTAGCAACTTATATATACTGTTTTAATACCTACAGTGAAAGACCTTTCCAGCCTTTTCTGGATTCCCTCTACATCCCCCCTCCCAGATGCGTTGCTAAGATTTTGTGCAGTGCAGAAAAGCCTGAGCTCGGCAGTAAGAATTTCCTACTGTTAAATTTTTAACTAGGCTTCTCCACACTAATTCTCTGTATGTTTGGGCAAGCCATTTAAAGTAATGTCGGTCTTCCTCCAATCCCTCATTTGTAAAACTAGAAGAATATCACTTGTTTTCGCAGCAGGTGTTTGGTAAGGACTAATTAGCTAAGGCTTACAAAGTGTTCAAGAAGTCAGATCAGGACTAAATTTATGCTCTGCATGAAGCTTTTTTTTTTTTTTTTTCCTTCCCATTATGCAGCTGAAACAAACTCAAGATGTCTGGGTTTGCTTTGCTAGATTTGTTTCAAATTACATAGTTGATAACTGTGAATGTACATTTTTGGGTAAACTACATTCTGAGCTGGCATTCGAATACAATATTCTGGAATAGTTTTGCCAATAACCTACAGTAAACATGACAGCAGAATAATATTCCAAACTGCAGGTTTTCTACTTTATGAAATCAGAAACAGATTTACATGTGAGTATTTGTGCTTCTGCTGCATCACTTTAACAGATTAATAAATTCGTGAACTCCGTGCTGTGGAAACCTGTATGTGAACTTTCTGCAACCTAGAGTTACAACTCTTTATCTGAGGAGGTAATCCAAAATATATGTAGCTATAGAATTTACACTTAACTTTCTCATTTTCTGAATTCCGAAGGTTCTCTCTGCTGCTTGTTCTCTCTGAACAAATTCTGTATCTGTTTCTTACCACTGCCTCCCACTCAACAAATAAGCATTCTGGTGTCCCTTCTTCTCAACCTTATATAGCTTTCTTTTTTTACCCTAACTCCCTAGTATGTCTCAGTTCTCTAGTTCTGTTTTAGGATTTGCAATTCAGTTGTTGTAATTCATTGTGAGGCTTCTAAATCCATCAGACTGTATAAAATCAACCACCCTTTCATGTATCAGCATCCCACAGAAATCATCAGTCTGTCTTTCACCCCAGTTCATTTTCAGACTTTGTTTTACTCTGTATTTTGTTAAGTGTTATAAAGCACCGTGGTACATGCTGTCTACTGTAACTTTTCTTTCTATCTGGGTTCCTGAGGAATATTAGGTGTTTTTTTTTCTTGGTTTTATTTTGTTGTGGGTTTTCTTTCATGGTCTCCTCTGAGCTCCTTTTAGAAAGTTGGTGAAGTCTGATTGTCTGCATTGTAAGTTTTCTCGGAAGTTGTTCAGATTTATGAATTTATGTGATGTCTGTGCAAAGATGAAAATGTCACACTAGTGTTTCAGAGCAGAGCCCATCTGCAAGTCATGTCATTCTCAAATTTCAGCTTACTGAATATAAGTAACAAGAATGAAAGGGCCTAAGATACTTGTCTGAGGGTAGGCAAGACAAATGCTCACATACTATTTCCCACTGTACAATCCACACCTTGAGCTAATTGCCTTGAATTCCTTGTTCAGTTTCTGATGTAGTGGTTCCTGAGAATTAGATCCCCTCCAAATCCAGCCAGGAAATCTCCCAGGACAATAGCAAAGACATTTCTGAGGTAGTTGCGTAAAATCCCAGTATTCCCCCTGAAATAGGCACGTTCTATGAATAAAAATACATTGCAGAGATCCTCTCATGCAATTAAATACTTAAAGTCTTTACTGTGATTTTATATGCTTGCCACCCAGTCTCTCAGAAGGATTCAAAATCATTTTCTGCAGCAGCCATGGAGCACCTGGGAATACTCTATTAAGGAATTATATAATTCCTACAAATTTTCAGCGGGTTCAGGATTATGCAGTTACAACTTGAGAATTTTGAAGATCACCATTTGAGGCTTAGGAGCATAAATTTGGGACAATATGCACAAAATATTCTCGTGACTCTAGGCCTTACAGGCTTTATGATGGTCGTGACAAATGTCCTCATACAGTAGTTTAAAAACTAAAAGGCAGTCATTCAAATTGCTGCTCAATTTTCAGAAACATAATATAGCTTCACCTCTAGTCACACTTAGTAACCATTGATGATACTTATCTTGATGAAGGTCTTGATATTTGCAGACATTTATTTTAATTTAAGAGTCTAAACTAAGGTACCAGTGTTGTTTTTACTTTATAATGATGCTTATGTTTTATAACAGAAGGTGTGAAATTGGATAACTTTATGAAATAAAGGTTGTATCCACTACTCTTCTTATAAATTCATAATTTTGTGTTTTCCCTTCTCACACGGTTGTCATTTGAGGAGTACCTAGTGACAACATAAATTTAATGTTTCATCTTATTAATAGATCAGGATAAAACATGTAACTAGAACTTGGTAACTGAGAATCTTTGCTGTAACACCATGCCCATCTCCAAAAAAAAAAAAAACATTTAATTCACTGGACAGAAACACTCCAAAGAAAAAGCCCTTTCTCATTCTCATGTCTTTCTTATTTTCCCTGTTTTTTAGAGAAATCAACATTCCTAATAGAAGTGTTGTGCTGCTTGTTAGCCTACTTTAGAAAGATAAAGGAGGCAGTAGTATGTGTTAGCAAGGCACATCCAATATCTTATAAGGTATATTAATTACATTTGTTCTGCCTCATGGTTGTTTCTTCTGAATGCTATTTCTCCCTTGAACTTCAAGGTGTTGTTTTTCAGATTTAGTTTTTCGCTTTGCTTCTTCCAAAGCCTGGGGCTGCAGTAGAAGAGCTCTTTTAGTTCCTGCTACGGAAGGCTGGAGGTGCTCCTGCCTCTGCTCCCAAAGGGTGACACTGCCAGATTGAGGGGAGGAAGGAAGGAAGAATATGCCCATTGTCAGATGCTGTAGGTGCATGTAGTGCCTTGCATATTAGCTGAAAATGACAGAGATTTATGTTCTGCAATGTCACAAACCTCATTTTCTGAGGGATACGTGCCCCTCTACTGCTCCTACCAAAAGAGCAGCAGAACCTCAGGAAGGAGGTGAGAGGGCTGAAATCTATAACATCTTAGATCAACACACTTATACTAGAAGAGCACCATCTGCCAAAGGCCATAGAGAAGACATAAGAAGGTTTTGTCTCCTGTGCAAAGAGTGAAGAGATAAGCGAAGTCCACTCACATTTCTGTTGCTATCATGCAAAACATTGCAAAGCTGCTGACTGCATGTGCTGCCATGCAGTGAAAAGACATTATTTTAGTAGGTACTCTCTTCACCAAAAAATAATCTTAAGGAATGTTTATGAATCTAAAAAATTACTCTGGGTGAAAAGGCTTAGCTTTTAAAAAAATCTACAAGTATTAAAAATGAAATTCTGCAAGCTCAAAAATGCATCAGTCCCAAGTGTTTTTCCTTAAAAATAAGCAAAAAAAAAAGAAAAAAAGTAGAATGGAACAGCTGTGGAGTGGTACTTCTGTACCTTCCCAACCTTCCCTACTTCTTTCAATTTGAGGCATTCCCTGGGCCAAAGCTTTGTCACGTCACTGTATTTTATAGATTCATTCTCTTCTACTTGTTAGTTTAATTGTTTGGTTGTTTTTTTTTTTCACTGTATACTTGCATCCACAGAAATTCACTGGGATATGTTCTGCAGTGTAATTACTTTGCCTGAAAATTTACTTCCTGTTGGTTGTTTTAAAACTGTTTCAGACTGAATCCTGATCGTGCCTCCAAAAATATTTTTGATGTATTGTAAAGAAAAGTTGTTCTCTCATTCCCTCCACAATGCTTTTAATTTTTTACCCCCA